GACGCAACTGTTTCTACTTAATTTAAACTGTTTTAATCTAAAAAGCAGTTAATTCTTCCTTGCAAGCTACGAACAAAGGTTAAAACCCTCAATATCCGTACTTAAACCCATTTGAGCACACTCTCAACTAGAATCATTTAAAAAAAAAATATCCACATTTTGATTTATTTACCTACTCTTAGAAACACATGTTAGAAAATGCGTTAAACAACGCAATCAACTGCACCTCTAAATAAAATATTATTATTATACTTTTTATGCATAAAACGAAAAGACAAAAACTTCTCATTTAACATCATGCCCAACATTATCATGCATACAAGTAATTTAGTGATTAAAACATGCACACGACCTCACCAAAGGTGGCACAAATGAAACAAACACTACACAAGCAGTAAGAAGAACAAAAAAGCTGCAAAAAAAGAGAAGAAAGTAATAAAAATTAAATAAAATTATGACAAATTGCATTCAACCTTTAATTACATCTTCCTTTACAAGTTGTTGGCATGTTTACTTATCATCAACATCATTTTTATGCTTTTAATGTTCTGTACTGTGTATTATGACTCGTGATATGTTGTATGGGTATGATGATGCTGCACAGTTGCTTTATTCTCAACATTTTCTCGCTCTTCCTCATCTCCCTGCTTTTTTGTGAAATTTATGATTTTGGTGAAACATTTGGCTGATGCTGTGTGCTTCTTGTGAGGGGTTCGGATGGGATGTTAAGGAAGTTGATGCAGTTCTTTTAGAATAAGTCAAACTTTATTCAAAAATCCGGTCAAAATTTGGTCAAACTTTATTCAGAAATTCGTTAAAAACTTGGTCAATCTTCATTCAAAAGTCCGCTCAAAATCTGGTCACACTTTATTCAAAAATCTGCTCAAAATCTGGTCAAGTTTTATTCAGAAATTTGGTAAAAATCTGGTCAAGCTTTATTCAGAAAGCCACTCAAAATCTGGTCAAAGTTTATTTATAAATCCGCTCAAAACTTGGTCAATCTTCATTCAAAAGTCCGCTCAAAATTTGGTCACACTTTATTCAAAAATCCTCTCAAAATCTAGTCAAACTTTATTCTTAAATCCGCTAAAAATCTGGAGAGATTCAACATCCCACAACATCCAATCAACTCCATTGTGAAGATCTTCAACTATTTCCTCCTAAATCTCAAATAAGAAAGAACTGAGCAAGAAAACACAGAGCAAAATTGCACTTGTGCTTCGAGAGGAAGGCATGAGCCTTTACGGCAAACGAAAGATGAAAACTCAGTTTTACGCCATTTGTTCTCCTTTCACTATAACACAGCTCGCTTTATTTATGTGTATAGTAGTGTATATATATGTGTGGCTCATTGCTTGGTACTGCTTCTGTTGCCGCTTAGATATTACGATATTACTAATTTATCAACGCCGCAATAAATTTATTTTAAGGAGGAAGATTTATTTGCAAACTTATGCTTACCGCTCTTATTTTTTTCGCCTTTTTCTAAAGCAAAAAAAAGCCTCATTTCTTCCTCTTGTTCCCTACACTTTTTTTTTCTTACTTTCATTCCTTAATATTTATGAAACAGCTGCATCTCACTTATTCTGGGATAAATATTACATTGTATTACATTTACTTCTTATTTCATCTAGGAGAGATGCTTTAAAAAAGCAGGAAGAATTATTTCATGTGCGCGATTAAGGAAGCAGATTTTTGCTTAATATTATGTCCGATATTTAAGGAAGACAATAGTTATAAAGTGATGAGGAGGGTGAATTTAATGTTCATTTAGGATGCAAGGATTGGGAACTGTTTTAAGAATCTGAATATATTGTATCTTCTGCCATATAGTCAAGTAACCATTAATAGCTCAGTGGTAGGAGATGATTGAAAATTGTAGGACGTGGGTTCGAATCCCACTCAGTTTCTATAGCTCAGGATTAATCACATATTGTAAATTTTTCATGTACAAGTTGAATTCTTAGCTTCTGGAAGTTTGGGAAGGGTATATCTGAGAAATCAATCCAAGAATAGGCATCAGATCGCATAGCTAAGTCACAAAAATTCTACAGATATCATAATTTGCAAGGAGTTCTTTTAAAACATTACTAAACGCTAATAATTACTGTTAAGTAAGCAACTTCATTTAAGAATAGCATTTAATTGCTTAAATAATCCACGGACTAGCTGTTTGATTGCAAAGATATCCCTAAGACCATCATCACTTGACAAGATCAATTTTATAACAAATAAGATTATAGTATCCTACCTTATCGCTAGTTCTACTGTCCTTAGTAATGCATATTGTTTCCAAGATTCAAGCTTATAAAGAAGATAAATAAGCACATTCTACTAAACTCCTTATCTCCAAAATCTTCCACCCATAGTTATAGTCATTACACCTTTATGCTATATCATCCATCTCCTTACAAACTAAGCACATGTTATATTAAATTCCCTTCTTTCATTCGAGATTCATTTTTCCTATCCATACATAAAAGAAAACTACAAAATAAGAAGCATCACGATGATGATATACACAGTATGTACACATGTAGTTCCTTACTTATTTTCTTTCCTAACACCAATTCATTTTTCATCCTTAGTTTTTCTTTTTCATTTTTTTTGCAGCTCAAATGCAGCGTAGGAAAAGAAATGAGAAATTGAGTAAAGTAATTTATAGTGTTGCATGCACAACAAAGTTTTCTTTTCTCTTCTTACAGACTCATAATTTAACGCTGGCGGTCGGTCGGTGCATTTTAAAATTTGTTACTTTTATAACGAGTAGCTACAGTCTTCCTTGAGACAATTTGCTTGTAGAATTGTGTCTCCTACTTCCAACAACTTTTATTTTTTATTTTTTATTCTCACTCGTCCATATGAATGGAAAAAGTTTTTTTTCCTTGCCACCCACACCTCAATCTTCCTTCATCATGAAAATATATAAAAAATAAACTTTCAGTCAGAAGACTCTTAGGTATGGATGGCAGGGGTGGGATGGGAAAAGAGAATCATTGTAAAATTATGTACTTCGCTGCAATGTTATATTGTGCACTGAAATAGGTGGAAATTTATTTGCTAGTTCTTCATTTTGCTGCCGTTGCTCTTGTGCAATTCCTTCGTTCTTTTGAGCCAGCAAGCAATTGACGCTGTGAGAGTCTTTTAGAAGGAGCTTGTTTTGTGAGGAATGGAGGTAGCTTTGTTAATGGTTTGTCAGGTTAGTTTGAACCAAATTATGTCATTTATAAGCTTAAACCTGATTTTGTATTGCAATAATTGAGTACATCAGGACTTAATCAACAAAATGACGTTCCAATTGAGTTCGAATCCTACGAGCCACTTCATATTGAAGCTATCAGAAAGCTTCCTATGAATGCTAGTATAAAGTTGTTAATTCTCAAGATTTCTGGTTCCAGCATGTTTATTAGAACACCAAAAGCAAAGTCCAATACAGATCAACATGCAAATGCGCCAAAATAACTCACTGTGCATCCAAGAAGCAAGCTCCATAAATCTCATCTCGCTGCTCCTCACAATGCACAAGAATAAAGAAAAGTTTCCCCGACTTTTTTTTCCTTCTCTTCCTTAAACTTTTGAATTAAAAAATGGACGAAGTTAGCCATAATTTCTTATTCCTCATTTTCTTATTCATAATTTTTCCAGCACAGCACCAAGTTCCTTTCTCTCACAGCTTTCTACAGAGAGCAGCAACAAAACTCTTTAATAAACTAAAATAATAAATTATTATTCTCAACATCTCAAAACTTTTAATATTCAAACCATAAATGTCGTTGTCGCTTAACAAAAGTTTTCAACTTCATTTATGGAATTTTTTTTCAGTCAGAAGAAAATTTGTTTGTTCCTTTTTGCCTCACTCGTGCAATGTTACGTGTTGACATGAAAATACACTTTTTTTTCAGGTTCTGAAATGAAATTTTTCATGTATGTGGATTTTTTTTTGCTGCTGTTTGGTATTACACATGATGTGTTACATGAGCTTGCTGATGAGTAGGTGGATGTTAGTTTATGTTGGTGTAAAGAAGAAAGTTTGTAATTAAATGCTGTACTGCAGTTATGATGTGTGTCGTCAGATGTTTGTGCTTAGGTAGATTAATGGTTATTGAACTTTGTTTGTTGTCGGAATTGAGGAATATGAGATTATGTAAGCTGCTAATTTTTGTTCGGGATAATTAAGTCATTTTCGACTTTTTTGATTTAGAATGTGACATCTAGGGTTTTCAAACCCGGGATTCAGTACATACAGGAATTACCTACTAAAGAACATAAACATATATAACTGGATATAAACAACTTATTTGCATGATATGAAGCAAAAATATTGAATTACTGGTAGAACATTTTTGAAACTTTTTGTATCGTTATTTTATACAGATTTTCTTCTTTTCTTGTTAATCTTATAGCAATTGTTAAATTGATTTCAACTCTTATATGCGCGTACGTACATTATTATTCTTACTTATCATATTATTTACTATTTACAGTTTCAACATAGTTTCGCAATATATTAATATTGCCTAGTGACAGCATGGTAGATATTGACTAGGGTCAACTTATAAGTTTGAAAATGAGAACCTAGAAATCAGTTCCTTGTAAATTATCTAATTATTTAAAGGCTGTCCAATTGCACACTTTTAAGCGGGAGAGCCGTTACGCTTTTTTGAACAAAGTCCTGCCTAAAATCCGTATTCCCGCTTTTATGAACCAATTTTTCTTGGAAAATGCTTGAAAAATTGGTCTGTTCCACTTTTGCAGAGCTAAAATCGCGACATGTCCCGCTTTTTGATCAAAAACCGAGGTACAGCCTAATTACTTAACGCATCACGTATTCAGATTAGTCATTCATGAACTTGTTTGTCAATAGACTTAGTTTTGTTTACTGAATGCTTTTCTCAGGAATTAAAATTATCAGTTAACGCTTTGTGCATTTTGTTTTGTATTTTTAATTTTTTTTGCACATTTTAGAGTTCAAACGTTGATTAAATAATTTAATCCAATTCAGTCTTATTTTTACTGCACTTGAAATAACTTGTGTTTTAAAAAAAACTTTATTTAATGAAGAAGTCCGCACTTATTTTATTGATTTTCTGTGTGACTTATGCAGCTTCAGATACTAGTTATGACATGGATGAAGAACGGATTTTATGTGGAAATAAACTGAGTACAGCTTTAAAATTTGTATGTTCGTCAGACACAATGAGAAAGATTTTGACGGAAACTTGTAAGTATGGATCTTTTTAAAATCTCTGATGGTTAACCTTTCTTGTGCCACGACACACCTTGATGGTGAGCCAGTACCGGAACCTCACACCGGTTCGTTGGATTTCCCAAATTTTCTCACACTAGTGTGTCGTGGCACATGGGTTGGCCAGCACTGTTGTGTTTGATTAAACTACAATACAAAATTTCAGATAAGCATTTGAAGATTTTAGCTTTAAAAATTTTCAAATGAAAGTCTGAACTTAGATAGGGGTTCAGATATTTGATTTTTGGATAAAAATAAAATAAAAAATATAAATAATTTTCCTTTTAGCTAAAGAATCTTTAAACAAATCAACTATATCGAGAATAATTGAGTGCTGTACAAAGAAATGCCGTTTGAGGGATTTGCTTCCATTTTGTCCACAAGGCAATGGCTTTGCATCAGTCTAATTAATTTCTTTAACTTTTTACTGAATGTGTATTAAGGTGTGTAAAATAAAAAGCAAAAGTTGACAGCTTTTGAAATTGTAAATGATTTCATGAAAATTTGAATCCATTTTAAATATTCAAACCAACATGAATCCATCCATGAAAAAAAGCATCCTAAACCATAGCAAATTTCAATTTCCATTAATGAGATACAGTTCCAGTACAACAGCATTTCCACCCTTCAACAATCAAAAACTAATACATTTTTAATACTTTCATCTGCCGGCACCATAATTCACCCATCTTTCAGTCTAAAAATCAATCCTTTCATTACATTTACACTCAAACTTTATAAATTTTTCAGTGTCTAATTCTCATTCAGTTTTTACAGTCATGCGTAACATTAAGTTCGTCAACAATTCCCCCACAAAAAAATAGTTTAAATTAGGGTTCGCCCACATGCACATACATGCGCATGCATGCGCATATGTCTGCATATATGCAAATTTACATGCGCATGTATGTGCATGTATGTGCATGTACGTTATTTTAACAAAATTTACACTTTTTACTATCAAAATATTATTTCCACTTCATTTATTGATTTTAAGAAATTAGTCCAAAATCAACCAGTAAAGTAGCGCTTGACCTAGTCAAATCATAATTTTTTAACCTCTTTCATCCGTTTATCACTACTTTGGCGATATGTACCAGAAGTTTGAAGGCAATGTGGATATTCAGGTGAAAATAAAGAACTGTAAAGAACAGAATCAACTTTTTGTACACATCTAGTATGGGACTAGCATATTTATTGACTCCTAGACATGCTGTGATAGGATATTTTTTTGAGGACGATAAAATTGACATTATGAGTTCGGTAGAGGAGTTTTCATCTGGCTTATCTTCGGAAATTGCTTGTAAGGCACAAGAATAAATCATATCGTTTGTTGAAGAAATGTCCATGCTTCCGCAGAAAAAAAGAGATTTCTTGTTTAAAATGTCAGTAGGAAACTATTGGAATATCATTGGAAAGGAAAAGTATCCAGAACTATCCAAAATAGCACAGCCGATTAGTGATATGATTTGTTCTTCAGCTACTGCAGAAAGAGTGTGGTCAACGTTTGGATTCATACATTCGCGATTAAGGAATAGATTAACAAATGAACGAGTAAAAGACCTTGTTTTTATATACACAAATAGTGTACTCTTAGATACGTTTGATAAAAACGATTACATTGCAGAGGATGGAGCTTTTCTAAGTGCAGTGGAATGAGAGGAACTAATTGATGATTAGGTTAACGTTTAACGTTTGATTATTATTTTTGTTAATATGAATAGTCATTATTCTTGCTAAAATAATTGAAACATTCAAATTATTACGCCCAGTGTAACATTAGAATATAGCTTATATAACAGTTTTTGTCATTTACAATTAATGTGTTACAAATCTTTTTTTATTATTAATAATAATAAAAGAAATATAAAATGCTGTTAACTCTCTGTTATTAACTACATGCGCATGTACATGCGCATGCATGCGCATGTATGCGCATATTTTAACATGCACATGCATGTGCATGTCATGTCGGCGAACCCTAGTTTAAATTAACTAATCATAAATGCAAAGAATTGCACCACAAAAATTAAATTGAAATTTTACAATTTTTTTTATTTGTTTAATCTTCTCTCGCCTCATAAACAGTTTCAATTTCTGCTATTGTTGGACAAATTGTTGCAAAGAATTATTGTCATGATCTATTGCTTCATTTTCACCCTCTTTAAATGCAATAATAGGAAGAAAGAAAAATGGTTGAGAAGGCAGCAATGAGAATAAAACTATTAAAAACGGTTGATAACTATGACTTATATCATGTAAGTGTGTGGATAGATAAAAATAGACGAAAGAATAATGGATGGTGACAGTGCGAAGGGCTTATATGATAATTAAAAGTAATCTCTTGAAAATAAATTATAACAAGGCCTTCTTCCTGTTTGTTTTAAGTTTTTAAGAAATGCATGTGTGCTGTTAAGTTAATGAGATGGTTTTTGGATTGTTTTAAGAGATAAGAAATGGTTTTTTTCTTTCTTGAAAAATTACTCAACTTATGTGGAATTTAAATGAAGACAAAAATGTTTGAATAATGTCGATTTGAGTCCTAAAAAGTCAATTATAATGTTTGATGAACTTTACGAGAGTTAAATTCGCAGCTGTAATTTCAGAACAGAGCAGAATCTGGGGTATCAAGTCTTATATAGGCTAATCTGCCAGTGCGAAAGGTAGGTGTCTATGGCTCGAGTTGTTAAGCAACAGTCCGGACATCTGTAACCTTCTTTTGTGAGGATGTGGGTTCAATTCCAACCAGACACTGATCTCTCAATCATTTACTAGAGTGTTGTTGATATACCAAGGATTTGCACAATGCTCACGACATTTTTAGTAGCAATAACTATATTTTTGACTACAACGCAGCAGCCCCTAAGTTGAAATTAATTTTGAATCACTAATTACGCTTTACTTGCAGCCACAAACTCTTCTTGATTAAACAATTTCATTCAAATATCAAAAAACCTCTCCAAAAATTCACCAAATACCAATTCAAATTAAAATTACCTTCCTTAATTGCATGTAAATCTTCAATTCCAACTAATTACATTAAAAAAACCTTCAACATCTCCAACCCATCGCATAAATCAAACCAAACTTCTAATTTAAATTTTTTTTTCATAAATTAAAATAAAATCTCCGAAATGAAGAAAATTAACTTATAAAAAATTATACAAGCGATACAATTAACGACCATAACAATACCGAGCATCAGCACAGCAATAGGAAATAAAAATTCATCTTCACAAAATGAGAAATAAAAGATGGTCAAATAAATGGTTGAATGGACAAGGCTGAAAGAAGAAATATCATTAAAGTCAATTTTATTTCAACTAGAGCAGCAAAACGCCCAAAATTTTAGAAATTCACATATTTCTTTTCCTTCAACTGCAAATTACATTCTTTCTTGTTCCACTATGGGCCAGAAATGGAAAATTTTTCCAAAAATTATTTCTACAGCTTATATGATAGTTCTTATTATGCCCTACATTTACGTCCTTAAAACTTTGCTCAAGTCGACAGCATGTCCGAGATATGGCACTTCAAAGTTGGTCAGACGACCATTTTCACGTTACATTGAAAATGCTCTCACCAGATACTGGATAGATGAATCTCCTTCAAATTTTTTTTGTTAATAGCTTTAAATAGTTACTTTGTTTTAAGATATAAACAATTGCAAATAACTTTGAAAAATTTTGTGAAAAACTAGATTTTTCTCAAAAACCACGTGTTCGTCATACTTTCGTTTGTGTAGGTCTTCACAAGCACAACCAAAGTTACTAATTTCTTTTTTATATTAAAGATTACATCAAAAGCTATAACTTTTGCATACATGTCGTATAATTTTAACAAAGTTTTGATAGTGAAAAAAAAATTTTTTATAAAAAAAACAACAATTTTTTGACAAAAATCGCTGTAGTGCTTCAGGGATACCCATGGTAGTGGAATTTTATTTCACATTTAGAAAGCTCTCTAGATATGCTATCAATTAATGCAATAAAATGAACAAGTGTTCTCTTGGCAAAGAGCACTTTTTTGACTCTGAAAGTCGTATGTCGAGCAAGGTCAAAAAAGAAAAATAATCATAAAAATTTCAGTTTTAAATAAAATTTAATTTTTTTAATTTAGATTGATAGATCTTTTTAAAACGCGTCTTTTGAGTATAAATATGTTATAGTTTTGTCAAGTTTCGTGATCATTTTTTTAAAAAAATAGTTTTTTTCAAAAAAAAAATTGAAAAATAAAGTATTTGACTTTAGAATTTTATAAAATGCATCTTTTTGTCATTTTTTTCACTACTTTGTCTAGTTTTGCTCCTAGTTTTTTTCCTAAACATAAATCAATAAGAACTTAGCATAATTGAAGCCATTTGGAGGTTAAATTGAGTTAAAAATCGTTTAAAATTTTTGTATTTCTCAAATAGTTCTTTACACAAGTATCTAAGATATAAAGTGTTGCATAGTTTTGAAAAGGTATTGAAATTTCCAATATGTTAACATGAAAAGTTTAGGAAAATTTTCAAGTAATATAGTCAATTTGGGTAAAAAACGCATTTTATATATGCTAGTTTTTAATGTTTTTCGTTTTTCTCAGCAAAGACTTTATGAAAAACTCTCAAAGTTTGCACTTTTATTTGTTATATAAATGTTAATGACTCGTAAAAGTTTTGGAATTTTCCATTGAGTTTTTCATTAGTTCTCCTAATCTGAAATTTTCACTATTAAATTTTCGTTTTTCTCAACAATTGCGATTTTTTATTTATAAATAAATATCTTATTTTGTTTCATTTTTCAATATCTTTTCATTGATATGTAACAATCTACAAAAAAATTAAGACTAAAGAGAAATGAATAAAAAAGTGTCAAAAATGTATGAAAATTCTACGCTATTTTAATTTTTTAAGCCTTTTATGGTTAATTTTACTAAGTTTTATAAGAGTGTTATACCTTTTTTTGCAAATGTATAGCGAGACAAAAGACAGTTCCATATGAAGAAAACCAGATATTAGTTTTAATGCTATTTAAGCTATAATATTAAGCTTTTTCATTTACTTTTGTTATAAATGTTTCATGTAATTAATAGCAGCCTGAAGATATAATTTAAAGCTTTTAAATAATTTAATTTTAATAAATTCAAAATTTTTGGTTGTCGCCAACTTGAAGCTTATTTGACTTCAGTTGTGCTTAGCGTAGACTCATACGAATTTTGGTGGATGAACGTCTTAAGCTATACATTTGCAAAAAAAGGTATAACACTCTTATAAAACTTAGTAAAATTAACCATAAAAGGCTTAAAAAATTAAAATAGCGTAGAATTTTCATACATTTTTGACACTTTTTTATTCATTTCTCTTTAGTCTTAATTTTTTTGTAGATTGTTACATATCAATGAAAAGATATTGAAAAATGAAACAAAATAAGATATTTATTTATAAATAAAAAATCGCAATTGTTGAGAAAAACGAAAATTTAATAGTGAAA